CAAACTCACGAACAGTAACACAGCGATCTCCGAGCATGGCCGTCTCCCCTTGACAGATGGTCTCCTCATCAATGGCAGACTGGGAATCGCCCTGGGATTGGCGCCGTTCCCAACAGATCTCCGACCATTCCTGAACTGGCATTGCATCCCCCCCCCCCATAAAGTTGCATTCATTTAGTCGATTGGTCTCTTGTGGTGTCCGGAAAATCGAAGAGAAATAAACCTGCTTGATACTCCACTGGTTCCATTTTTACACTTTATTTTGCCTTCATCGCTGTAACAGAAAATAATGTTATGAGTTAAGGAAATCAAAACATTATCTGTTGAGATGTGTATCCTTCAGTAAGTGAAATATCAGCCTCCTAGGATAAGAGAAAATGGGTCAGGGATGTTTTTGATGAACACCCCATATATATATATTATATGTGTGTGTGTGTGTGTGTGTGTGTGTGTGTGTGTGTGTGTGTATGTATGATTCTGTGTATATATATTTCCCTCCCCATCGATCATCATAAATACAACCCCTCCCCCCCCCTACTCCCCCTACTCCTCCCCCCCAAAAAAGGAAAAAAAAACGAAGACGAAGCTGACGTGTTTCCTCGCGAGGTTCCGCCAACCTGACGCTAAATAATGAGAATTTTGCAACAGCAGAAAATCCTTTCGGAATATCCGTGTTCCCGCCGCGACGCCCTTTGAATACGCGAGCTGAAACGCCTTCCTTGGAGCGCGGCTTCCTTGGCACTGTGCCGGGCGGGTTGCGCCTCGTGTGTGTGTGCGTGTGTGTGTGTGTGTGTGTGTGTGTGTGTGTGCATATATATACATATATATATGTGTATGTGGATGTATATTATATATATATATATATCTAAATATATATGTGTGTGTGTGTATGTGTATGTATACACACACACACACACACACACACATACATATATATATATACTATATATATATATATATATATATATATATATATGTATATATATATATATGTGTGGTGTGTGTGTGTGTGGTGTGGGGGGGGGGGGATATTTGCATATATGTGGCGTACATATATATATATATAATATATATATATATATATATATAATATATATATATACATATATATATATGGTAGTATGTATGTATATATTATATATATACATATATTATACACACACACAATATATATAATATATATATATATATATATATATATATATATATATATATATATATATATACATACATATATATATATATAATATATATATATATATATATATATATATATAACATGTATATTCGTATATATATAATGCCTGCGCTGTGACTATAGCTCGAGCCTGATCTCGCGGCGAGAAAACGACATATCGCCTTGAGAAGTCAAACGCAGGTGTCGTAGGGGAAGTCATCGCCGTGGCAAAGGTGTCAGCGCCACGGCGAGGGCCAGACTGCCACATCACCTCTCAACAGCCATTCATTCCACTGTATGATCTAGGCTTCTGGGAGAGGCCTAGATCAGTAGTGGAATAAATGGCTGTTGAACAAACAAATATATATATATATATATTATATATAATATATATATATATATATATATATATATATAAAACTTATACAAGACTTTCACTAGAAAATGGAATTACCTTTAGAATCCGTGTACATTGAATTTTTTAAGGGAATTAGACTTAGAATATGGAAACTTTTACATTTCACTTCAAATCTAAGGCCAAAATGTTCCAACTTTTTATTGAAGAGGAGAATGAGCCTTAATATATGTACAATTTACAAAAAGAACGGGTTTATCTTAGGAATACCTTCATCCGTCTCGACAAAGCCAATAAAAAATAAATAAATGAAATAATGATTAAAAAAACAAAACAAAACAAAAATCGGGTACTGTACCCTGTAATCTGAACCCATCTAACGCGCACTGTATAGAATCCCACACAGTATATCGTTTATAACACGAACGGTACCCCCGCCTATACTACCTCTACCTGGTGTCTCTCTGATGAAACTATTGCCGCGTTGACCAAACTTCGCCTCGAGGGGACAACCGGACTGCAATGTCGTTACAGTACTGAGGATTTAGAGCATCTTGCAAGGTTTCCATTTCAGTGTGGTACAATATCTGCGTTCCTAAAACCTGTATGGTATTGCATTATACGGCGTGGCAAACTAATGCTTGTCCGCCAGTGTGCAAAGCATATGATATTCGTTTATACATAAATACATATATATCTAATATATACTATAAGGTATATATATGTATCCTTTCCTCCCTTCTACCATTTCCCTCTCCTTCCACCTTTTGGCCTTCATTAACACGTTGAATTCGTTTAAAACTATTTTGTTTTACCTATGATAGTTTCATATATGTCTTT